CACTCTGATCTCCTCCCCCTCTTTTGTTCCGAACTCCAGCACCTCCTCCTTCTCTTCATTGTTCCTCTCTTCCCACTGGTTCATCACTCTCTTCACTCTCCTTACACTCTCACTGATTTCTCCTTTCGTCCCCACTATTGTTGTGTCATCCGCAAACAGCGCACTCGACACTCTCACTTCTTTCGTTTCCGAGCTTCTTTTTTCCCAGCCATGTTCGCCTGTGAACGACCCTCCCGGTATCCACCTCCACACCACCATTTTCTCTTCCCTATTATCTCGGCTCCTCGCCGTCAATGCCTGCCTCATCACTGCCTGATGGTAGATGTTAAAGAGGATCGGGGATGTAGAGCATCCTTCTCGCAACCCTCTTGCTGGCATCCATCCTCCACTCACGCCCTCCCTCCCCCTCACCTTGTATTCTTTTGTCTCATGTAGGTCTATCATGGTATCCAGACATCTACCTTTCAACCCATACCGTTCAAGTAACATCCACAACGCTGGTTTGCTCACTCTTGGATATGCTTTTCGCAAATCTAGCAGTCTTGCACATGGCCAGTCATCATCATTCATTTCCTTCACCCCTTCCTGATTTACTCTCCTCTTACAGTCTTCTACATCTTCCTGTATTCGTACCATCATTTGCGTCACATCCGCCGTGGACCTCCCTTTCCTAAAGCCCGCTTGGTTTTCGTCGAGGAGCCCCAGGTGTTCGGCCCACCAACTCAAACGCTTTGCTAACATTCTTCCTCACACTCTGCTGCACATGCTCAGCAGGCACACTCCTCTGTAGTTATTTCTATCGTTCCTGTCCCCCTTCTTGTGTATCGGTACCATCAGTCCCACTTTCACTTTTCCATCCCACTGGTCCGCTCTGTGCTCGAACATCTTCCTCACTATCCTGATCACTCTTTCTATCACCTCCTCACACGCATTCCATATATATCCGATTCTTACCCCATCTTCCCCCGGTGCCGACTCTCGTATTTCATTCATAGCCTCCATGATTTCCTCCCTCTCAGGCACCTCATTCATCTTCTTGTTTGCTTCGCCCGCTCTTCTGTCTTTTCTTAAATCTACAGTTCGTTGAACCGCCTCTTCGATCACTCTCGGTTCTTCCTCGTACCTCTGCCTCGACACGTTTTCAAAGTGCTCCTTGAATTCATTTGCTGTTATAGTCGTGCTCCGAGCAGCTGGTTTATCTCTCTTTCCTAACTTTCTCAAATATTTATACATTTCACCAAGTCTCCCTCTAGAACATGCTTCCTGACAGTCCTCGATCACCCCTTCCCACCAGTCTTTTTCCAATCTTCTCAACAACTTCTTAAGTTCCTTCCGCATTTCCTTCACCTCCGCTTTTAGTCTGGTGAGCTCTTCTTCCAGCTCCCCCACTCCTCTCCCTTCTCCTCTCACTCTCAGCCGTTTTCTCGCATTCAGTGTCTCCGCTCTCTTGTTCCTTCTGTCTACCCTCTCCCATATCATCTTCTTCATCTCTTCTATCTCCTCCTCTCTCCCTACCGTCCATGGGTTAGATATTTCCTTTCTCTCCCTTCCACATACCTCCACAGCTGTCTCCACCATTATGTTCGCCAACTCTGTCCACCCGCTCTCCTTTCCCAGTCCTTCCCTGCTCAACTCCTCCAGTTTCTCTCTTGTCCTCCTCTCATATTCTCTTTTCTTCTCCTCCTCCTTCAATATCTCCCACTTCGCTTGTACTACCCTCCTCTGGATCTTCTAGTCTGTTCTCCATCTCTTCCACTTCCCATTCATTTCCATGCACACTGGCCTATGGTCTGACAGTTCGTACTCACTCATCGTCCACATCCTCTTCACCATACGGTGCCTCTCATTCCCTTTCACCAAAAATCCATCCAACTCATACCATTTTCCACTTGCCATGTGTTTCCACGTCCCCACGTCCCCCTCCTTCTAATCCTCCTATAGCTATTTACATATGCAGGCACACTCCTCTATAGTTATTTCTATCATTCCTGTCCCCCTTCTTGTGTATCGCTATGCTCCTGACACCATTCTACTAAGTGCCTTCCGGCTTCATTCATCCTCCCCAATCCATGTCTCCCACACACAGCTCCTATCTTCGCATTTGTTCCCACGCTTGCATTGAAGTCTCCTCCAATCACCAGTCTTTCATTCCCTCCCATCGCCACCTGGCTCCCCATGTCTCGTCGGCATCTCTCCATTTCTTGTTCATCCATTCCCCAACTCGGTTGGTAGACTGATACCAGCCTTAGCCCTCCCAACACCACCGCCACCACTCTCTCTCCCAGCCACTTCTGTTGTCCTTCCTCTTCCCATTTTTCTTTGTTGACTCTTTCTGCTACTCTCCTTAACCTTTTTCTAAACGTTTCTCTCACACTCGATCTCCTCACATTCCATGTGACTATCACTCGTTCTCCATTCTCACCCCGAGTTTCAGTTCTTTTCCCCCTTTCCTCTCCCCCTCTTCCTTTCCTCCTGTCTCCCCTTCTTTCATTCCTCTCTCTTCGTTTGTCATATTTGCTTCGTACTCCCCTCCTGTTGCCGGGGCCTGGATGGGGGTGAATCCCCACCAGACTGTCTTTCACCCATCCACCCACATGTCTTTTGTCCATCCCGGCTTGCTTGCGCATCCGTCTCCCCATCCCCACCCCAACCCCTGGGGAACCTTCTCGGTCCCAACTCGTCGCGCCACGTGCGGGTCCTGAGCGGGCCCTCGCCTGACTTTTGTTTAAGGAGGGTTGTGGGGCGGCTACTCCCACTTCCCTCCGTTCCTTCCGGTGAGGTCCCTCCTCCTTCCCCGTCGGCTGGTGGGCATTCAGCCGCAGCAGGGGCTCAAGAGCCCCGGTGTTCCCCCTCGCACCACTTGGAGGCATCACTGGCAACACATAGTTTCTCTGAGGAACAGAGCAACCACATAGATAAAACTTAGATTATATGAACACCAAAATGTATACATTTTTATTGAAAAAAATATAAACAAAACTTTTGTTGGCAGAGAAAAAAATGGGTGCAATTATTTCCTAAAATATGCAGATGTGTTCTTACCTTGGGGATCGATGTTAATTTCATCCTGATTCTTGCCCTTCAACTGCGACAGCTTTCCTGTTTCCGGAGCGATAAAATCCTTCCTCTGACGAGGTATCACCATTCCTTTACTCTACTACAGGTCGATATTTGTGTTTTGTTTCCAAATGGCGTCCGATTTTTCTGTAGGGCTTGGAGCAAAACACATAGAAGTAAGATTTGTTATACAGCCAGCGACCATCTGTTCTCTTCTTTAAAGTCATGGTCATCACATCAGAACCACCGGATGAAGATGTTTGCGGGTAATCTGTGTCCCAGGAATC